TATATATATATATATATATATATATATACAGTGAGACCCTGATATGCGGACACGTACCCGGCATACGGACAACTCGACTTTTTTGTTTTAAATTTTCCCAAAAATCAAAACATGTATTTTTTTAATTTTTATATATTTTGAACTAATCAAGCTACAGTATTTCTATTCACAAAAACTCTGGAAAATATTTCAAGATAAATTCAATCCATTTCATAATAAATAAAAACAGTTGATTTTGTGCTTTTTTCAGAGTTTTTTTCTATGATCTCTGCATTTTCTAGCAATAAGATTTATTCTTTTTTATTTGTTTTTTGATCAACTTTTGATTGCAAAAAATCAGATTCTATGTACAGTAGTTTTGTTCTGCACTGTTGTTTTCTACAACTTGAAGTTGAGGGAAAAATATTTTTTCAAGTTTGTTGAAGACTTGCAGTATTTCTAATTTTTGGCAAAAAGGAGAACCAATTAAATGCATTATTATCATTGAAGTCTAAGGGAAAATCTGACTTGACTTTGTGACATCCCAACATTGGGACACTTTTGTTGCACCAATTATGTCCACATCTTGGGGTCTCACTGTATTAGTACTGTAGATTTTTTTTAATACAGCAGAATCTAATTATAATTAATTAATGATCATGGGCATGCTTAATGAGCACCAGTACTTGTTGCCATTCTTTCTTGTGGCTGATATGAATCTAAACTAGGTCCCTGGATAATGGAAAATAAAAATTTTATTAATTTTTCAAAAAGATTAAGAACAGAAATAATCAATTTAGATTTTTTTAAAATAAAGCAGGATCTCGTTATAATGAATAATTACTAATCATGAGCGTGCTTAATGAGCACCACTTGTTGCCACTTTTTTTTTGCAACTGATATTGACTTTTAATTAATTTCCTGTGAAAGGAAGCAGACAAAAAATTTTTTTCAGAAAATTAAGTCATTTCTTTCTTTTGTGAAAATAAATTTTAAATTTCCAAACAGAGAATTTTAAATTACAATGATAAATATTTATTTGTGAAAGGCAAAATACTGGATTTCAAATCAAATTCACTTCAATAATTCCAGTAAAAATTTTAAATAAATCCATGGAATTTTATACAGCAAAACGTCAGTGAGATAAAATGGATTTCCGGTTAGAAGAAGATTGCATAACACAAATCACTCTTGACACTTTTTCAAAGTAAGGGATGATACAGCTATTTCAAAGAATTATTTTGATAAGCTTTGCGAACCCTGTGCTCTTGAATCTTGACTGAAATGATTATTCTTATAGAATTCATTGAAAACTCGCCTAGTTTAGGATCCACTTAGGAAAAATACTTCAATGTTCATCAGATGAACGATGACTTCAAGACACTGATGCTGAAACNTATGTAATTGAATTCATGTAAAGGACTTTTTGTCTAACAGACTAGTCCCTTGCACAAATCAAGTCCGTTAGACGGGGTTGACTGTATATTATATATACTGTACATACATACAGACATATTGAAGGAAAAGAGTGCAAGTGATAAATACTTCAAAGTCAAATTTAATTTTCAATTTTTTGAGCACCAAATTTTAAAAAATGAGATGTTGACCCCAATGACCCTGACTTTATTAATCTCAGCCAAAGAACAAACCACTGTGGCCTAGAGCCAGCACACCATAAAAAATAATACCTTTCATTAAGTTAAGTAAATTAATTTTCTCAGTTCAATATCTATTAAATGAATTACTGTAATTGAAAAAGGGCATTCCAATAAAGTGAAAAATATTTTTAATTGGGGCTCTAGTCCAAAACTTTCCTCTTTTTTGATCAGCAGTTCCAAATTTGAGAGATGAAAAAACAAATAACTCTGACCTGCTCCACAGAGATGTTGACCCCAGTGACCCTGACGTTATAATTCTCAGCCAAGTAACAGGCCAATGTCCCCCAGCCACAGCCCAGGTCCAAGACCTCCAGTGGCTGTGATGATGATGATGATGATGATGAACCCAGCCCAGCATCCTTCCTCTCCTCCAACTTGAGCTTCCTCGCCAACAGCCTCATCTTGTTCACTTGGGCCTCGTCCAGCGTCTCCACCCCTTTCCAATACGCGCACGAGTACTGCATATTGGCATCCAGCCACAGCTTGAAAAACTCGTTGCCCAAGTTGTAATGCGCATCGGCCACCATTTTGGCCCGGGACTCGCTTTGCATATTCAGCACTCGCGTCGCCAGCGCCACCCAGCGAGTGGACCACGACTTGAACAGCCGTCGCTTCGTTTCCCGCGGCAGCATGAGGAGGCGGAAGAGCACTTCGTCGAGCGACATCTCGCGGGTGTCCCAGTCCCGGCGCATGTACGTCTCCCCGATGCCCAGGGACCCGTTGCGCATCCACTCGACGAAGGCGCCGGTGTCGTGGACGACGACGTCGCGGCCGGTGACGACGCCGGCGTCGCTGAGCATGTCGCTCATGATGCGGTGGGCGCGGCGGTGGATGGCGGCGCGGCCGACGAGGCGCCACCAGGTGTAGGCCACGGCGGCGACGCCGACGACGACGGCCGCCAGGATGTAATAGGAGGAGGACACCATCATCAGGTGCTGGACATGGTCCGGACCAGCATCACCACCACCTTTTGTTGCCATAATTTTATTTATTTATTTTTTTTTTAATGTGGTGGCTGATGATTTGGATTTGAAACCAACTCCTGTGAGAAAGAAGGATGAGAAACATTTCATCAACTTGTACGTATATATATATATATATATACAGTGAGACCATGATATGTGGACACCCCGACATACGGACAATTCGATTCTTTTCTTGAAATTTTCTCAAAAATCAAAAAATTTATTTTTTAATTTTTATATATTTTGAACTAATCAATCTACAGTATTTCTATTCACAAAAACTCTTGAAAATATTTCAAGATAAATTCAATCCAATTTTTAATCAAAAGCAAGCTGATTTTGTGCTTCATTCAGAGTTTTTTTCTATGATCTGTGCATATTCTAGCAATATAAGACTTATTATTTTTTATTTGTTTTTTTTTTTTATCAACTTTTGATTGCAAAAAATCAGATTCTATGTACAAGAGTTTTGTTCTGCACTGTTGTTTTCTATACAACTTGAAGTTGAGGGAAAAAAATATTTTTTCAAGTTTGTTGAAGACTTGCAGTATTTCTAATTTTTGGCAAAAAGAAGAACCAATTAAATGCATTATTATCATTGAAGTCTAAGGGAAAATCTGACTTGACTTCGTGACATCCCAACATTGGGACACTTTTGTTGCACCAATTATGTCCACATCTTGGGGTCTCACTGTAGTACTGCACTTTTTTTAATACAGCAGAATCTCATTATAATTAATTAATGATCATGGGCATGCTTAATGAGCACCAGTACTTGTTGCCATTCTTTCTTGTGGCTGATATGAATTTAAACTAGGTCCCTGGATAATGGAAAATAAAAATTTTATTAATTTTTCAAAAAGATTAAGAACAGAAATAATCAATTTAGATTTAAAAAAATAAAGCAGGATCTCGTTATAATGAATAATTACTAATCATGAGCGTGCTTAATGAGCACAACTTGTTGCCACTTTTTTTTGCAACTGATATTGACTTTGAATTAATTTCCTGTGAAAGGAAGCAGACAAAAAAAAATTTTTCAAAAAATTAGATCATTTCTTTCTTTTGTGAAAATAAATTTTAAATTTCCAAACAGAGAATTTTAAATTACAATGATAAATATTTATTTGTGAAAGGCAAAATACTGGATTTCAAATCAAATTCACTTCAATAATTCCAGTAAAAATTTTAAATAAATCCATGGAATTTTATACAGCAAAACGTCAGTGAGATAAAATGGATTTCCGGTTAGAAGAAGATTGCATAACACAAATCACTCTTGACACTTTTTCAAAGTAAGGGATGATACAGCTATTTCAAAGAATTATTTTGATAAGCTTTGCGAACCCTGTGCTCTTGAATCTTGACTGAAATGATTATTCTTATAGAATTCATTGAAAACTCGCCTAGTTTAGGATCCACTTAGGAAAAATACTTCAATGTTCATCAGATGAACGATGACTTCAAGACACTGATGCTGAAACTGGATTTGTGACGTCATTTTTAATTTATGGATGGGCCCGTGGAAGAAAACATCCCAAGGCCAAATTATTTTTCAGCTGAAAAAAGGGAGATTCTGCGCTTTTTTTAGCACTGATGGGGAATTCCCAGAAACTGCGCAACTGTTTTCTTTTGGGGGACATGCAGTGACAAAATTTTCGAGAAACACTCCATTCCAATATTTGGATGTTTATTGTTACATTTCTTTCTGCAGTCTTGTCATAAAGTCTGCCTTTTTCGATTTTCTGAAAATGTATATAAGGAAAAAAGTACCTGCTGGTGCATAATCTCATTTTTTTAATTTTGAGATCACACTTCACATTATGCATCATGCTGCTGATTTAAATTTTTAGCAACATTTTATCTCTGATATTTAAATCTTTTTGTAGAATATGATCAAAACAACTTTCACTTCTTTTCAATCAATCTTTGAAATGGAAAATTAATTGGTTCACTTGAATTTTCAATTAAATTCGCTGGTAGTCTCTGCAAAACACTGAGTATACATAATGAATTTGTTTCCAGATGATCACTTGTAGTATGATTAAGTCTTGACTTCACTCATAAATATATCAACGTATCCTAATTTAAAGGATTGAATAAATTTCAATCCGATTACTGGAGTTTTAAAATGTCCATTCAAAAAGATGAATTCTTCAAAAGCGTAGAAGACACTCATGGTTCAGGATTTCTTTTGCAGTTTTTCCAAGGTCTCAATCATCAGCTGTTGATTTTCTTTCAATATTTCAAATGTCAATCAAAATACTTGAATTATCACAGTTTAATTTGGAGAACAAATTCTTCAAAACACTAAATATGTTATTCAAAATGGATTTTTTTCTTTTTCAAAAAATTATTTCAATGCATCATTATCACTTCTCATATGATCATCTGTTGATTTTTCTTATAAATGACTGTCCTGGGTTCAAGTTTGAAAAAAAATTCATCACTTGGACTTACACACTTCTATTTACACATAAAGTGCCTGAAATATAGAAGATGCTCATTATTTATACTGTATTGTTTTTCTTGAAATAAGTCACAATTGCAGCAGTTGATTTTACTGATGAATTGCCATCATCAGACTCTTTTTTTTTTTTTACTCTAGAAGACATCCTGCTGTAGAAAGGTGAAACACAGGAATGGACATCCATGACCAAAGCAACAAAGTTTTCCCTGCCTCATCAGCACTCCCTCTCTCCTTTCCTTCACCAGCAGCTCCTCCAGCACAAAGACTCTCTCTCTCTCTCTATCTCTTTCTTCTTCCAACACCATCAGGCACAAACTAAGAATGGGTTTTCCCCACTACAAATCATCCCCAATGACTTGCAATCTCAAGCATGTTATGGTTTAATTTGAACCAAAAAAGGGGGGGGGGAGTCACAGTCCAGGACAAGTCCCCCTCTTCTCTCTCTCTATCTCTCTCTCTCTCTCTCTCTCTCTCTCTCTCTCTCTATAATTTCAACACAATTAGACGCTCTCTCTCTCTCTCTCTCTCTCTCTTAACATATATTATTTTAAAAAGAAGGAAGAAAATTAAACCCATGACATGAGGAATGAGGCTGGAAATAAAACATAAAAATATGAAACATGAAATAAGTGTGATGAATGTTTATCAGAGCATTTTCCCTGGGGATAATGTTGTTCTGTCACGCAAAAGAAAGATATGGTACTGGTACTGTACCATCTTTTTTTTCTTCTTTCAAATATTACCCAACAGAACTTTGAAAAGAAGGCCTTGAGACAAAATCTGGATTAGCGATAGGTGTGACCTCTGGGGGTTTTTCCCAGGAACCGACTTTTTTTATTTTTGGAATTTGAGATTAGTTTCAGAAGGGGGATATTATTTGAAGGCTGTTGGAATATTTGTTTTGTTTTGTGTTTTGTTCCAAAGGTGTCAAAAGAAAAAAAAAAGTGGAGAGACTTTCTAAAGAAAAAGAGATGAACTCGATCATTGGTTCCCTTTCTCGATTTCGGATGCATTCGTTAGTTTTTCCACCTCGGTTCTCGGAGTGAAAGTGTTTTTGTGATTTGCTTTTCTTTACTGTGACTTTGTTTTTTATTTAGTCATCATTTTATTATTTATTTATTTTTTACGACTGGGTGAAGACGGATTCCGTCGTTAATTTTTCTGGTCTGGTAATCATCTCGGGAATCCTAATTTTCTTTGCAATTATTTTGTGTTCGCCGATTTTATTCTTTATTTGGGACTTGGGTTCGTTTAATTGAACCCAAATTCCGAAGTTGTTTACGTGGTACATTACTAAGTTTGAGTACTTCCAGTTGTTTCTTTCAGAAGTTCCTGTGAAATACAATTTTAAATAAATTTTCAAAATTGTTGTTGACTATACACCGTATTTTAAATTTTATTCTAAGTCATCAAACATTTTTTGAATGAATAATCACTAAAACTGTGAGTGGGTTTATTTAAAATTGTATCAAAAGCCGTTGAAGAATAAAATTTGTTTCTTCTTTTTTTAACTGTTCCAGAGGTTAACTATATACAGTTAAATCAGCATGCAAAAAAATAATATAGCAAAGCACCTGGAGCAGGAAATCGGTTTTTAATGGGAACAGCAGCTACTTTTTGTTATGCTTGGTGGCTTTCTCAGTGATTCAAAACCCACAAGACTTCTGAAAAATGCAAAAGTGTTCCCACCAAAGGTGTTCAGGTCCACTCAGCTGTGGATTTAAATGGGGGCCATTTTTGCTCCTTTTTAAAAGGGATTTTTCTCCTTTTGATTTTTGACAAAGTATTTTCAAGCATCACCTTTTGTGTATTCTCTAAATGGTACCCAACCAAAAGCCCCCTTTAGGTCAAAAACCCCCTCCCTGCCTAAACCCCCTCCCTTTTTTTTATAATTTTATGCAAGTTTCATAACAGTGTTTGGTGGCCCTGAGAAGAGCCACTTGGTTTCATTAGTCCTCAAAAGGAATGTTTAATAATCATCTTCAAAATTGTCCTCTGCTGCCTCTTCCTCAGTGTCACTGATGATCTCCATGTCATTTTCTTCTTAATAGCCAATGTGGTATGCCTTTTCACAACCCTTCTGATTTTTGATGATCTGAAGTGCACCAGCCATTGGACCGACAAGGTGAACTGTGGATTTTGCAAAAGTCGGCAAGTGATGATGCTTTGACATTAAAAGAATCACTGATGACCACTGCAGGTGAAGAATCCCTTTATATATTCAACTTACAAACATATTGGTACTTGGCCTTGTGCTGGTGGGCCTGCTGGTGAAACGTGCAGCTTACCATCAAAAGTTACAAGAATACCTTTAATCCCTAATTTTTGCACCAAAGGGGGCTTTTGGCAGGGGAGATTTTGGACTGCACCCCTCTAAATTAGCCTCTTGATTTTTCAACTTTAAAATGTAGGATTGATTCAAAATACTCTCAAAACTTATCCTTTAATTAGCCCCAAAAATATTGAATTGATACAATTTTCATCATCCTGGCTAAAAGTGAAACAGGATTTCAATAGGGTGTAGTCCAAAAG